ACCGAAAATGTTGTGGACAACTGCATATACGTTAAGTTTAAAGGCAGTAGGTTCACATTTTTAGTCCTATACGTTGATGACATATTGTTGGCATGTAGCGATAAGGATATGCTGCATGAGACCAAGAATTTTCTGTCATCCAGTTTTGATATGAAAGATCTTGGTGAAGCCTCGTATGTCCTCGGCATCGAGATTCATCGAGATAGGTCCAGAGGAACGTTAGGACTATCTCAAAAGGCATACTTTGAGAGAGTACTGAAAAAATTCAATATGCATAAGTGCTCACCCTCACCTGCTCCTATAGTTAAGGGCGATAAGTTTGGGACATTTCAATGTCCGAGGAACCAATGTGAAACTGATCAGATGAAGTCGGTTCCTTATGCTTCAGCTGTTGGAAGCATCATGTATGCTCAAGTGTGTACACGCCCAGACTTATGTTTTGTAACCGGGGTGCTTGGCAGATACCAATCAAATCCAGGACCGGACCACTGGAAGGCCGCAAAGAAAGTCTTGCGTTATATGCAAGGAACTAAGGACTTCATGCTTACATATAAAAGAACTGATAACCTAGAAATTGTTGGTTATTCAGACTCTGATTTTGCCGGGTGTGTGGATAGTATGAGATCCACGTCAGGTTATATATTCACACTCGCGGGAGGAGCTATATCGTGGAAAAGCTCCAAACAAACGTTAACTGCTGGATCTACGATGGAAGCAGAATTTGTAGCATGTTATGAGGCCACCGGGCAGGCTGTATGGCTAAAGAATTTTATACCCGGACTTAAAGTGGTTGACAGCATATCTAAACCAATTTTATTGTACTGCGATAATGAACCAGCAGTTTTCTATACGAGTAACAACAGGTCAAGTAATGCTGCCAGACACATTGACATAATGTATCGTGTTGTGAAAGATAGAATCCAGGATCAAACAGTTGATGTTAAACATATAAGAACGAAGCATATGCTTGCGGATCCGCTAACAAAAGGCTTACCACCCAGTATCTTTCGTGAGCATGTTGCCGGCATGGGACTACTGGAGGCCTGATGATTCTGGAATAAGAGGACCATTAAAATAAACCACTCCCCAATTAGTAAAATGTTTTCCATTTCGAAATAGGCGGGTGTATTATAAGTGTTGAGGTTCTATGGCGTTTTGAGCTGTTGTAACACCTCACTTTGGTACATCATTCCTATATAGAATGGGCGAATGAAGTTAAGCCTAACGATCAAGGGGGAGAATGTTGGTTTTGATCTGACGGCTTAAACAGGCCAGTTAGATCTATTAGTCTAACAGAAGAAAAAAAAGGGATAAAGGGATAACGATAAGTGAAGGGGTCCACGTACCAACGTACGTGAGCCTCGATCAGAACTAACGCGCCCTGATCGGGGGCGCCCAAAAACCAACTCAGGTTTTGGGTCCCCTGTCGCCAGCGCCATATTAAAAGGGATACGGGAGAGAGCTGGGCACCTGCGAGATTACAATTCACGTAAGGTTTACTCTCCTCGCGATATTCTCTCACCCCATCCGATCAGGGGGAGTGCTGCAGCGACGGGAAGACCTAAGCCAGCCGCCGCCGCTGTCCCTGGGTAGTGCCGGTGGCGTCCTGAAGGAATCAGGACGTCGAGGAGAACATCTACTTCGACTACATCACCCCTGCATCACGCCTGCACCGAGCAGGCGATCATGTCCACTCCCGTGACATGTAAAGAAACCCTCTCTGTTCATGTTGTGAGGTGATCTAGGTGCAATTAGATTCTGCTAATGGCATCTCATAGATGCATAATTATTCCAACAATGGGGAGTCATTTGGTCGGATCTGGTTGTGTCTTCGTGTTTTGAAGGTGGTCTTCGAAGGCGTCCCCTAACAGATCTTAGTTTTTTACAAGGCGATTCGTCCAGCACCCTTTCACATTCTTCTGCCGTGTAGCGATCTATTTCTTACACACTATCGTGGGCGTCTTCTTGCTCCATGCAACGACTTCTCGGTCGTTATGTCAAAAACAATTTCATGGCTCCGATGAGGATTTGGCAATTTAGACGAAGAGGGTGTTGATTTCTCCAAGGATTCATGTGTAATTTTTATTTCTATTCAAGAACTGTCATGTAAAAGTTGCTTGGTTTTAATATATGTCATTTGTTCTTTTCTAAAGAAATATTTATCGCTGATATACACCTCCAAATTTATTGATCACATATGTACATTATAGACCATGTCAATATCTAAAATGTCACCAGTCCTAGGAACCGAAGGGGTATATGATAACTAGGTCAGTATTTGGCGTTGTCTCTACTTTACCTTGAACTACAAAATTAGGTATATATTATGCACCGAATTTTCTAAAATTCAGGAAAGTGATCCTATTGAGGTTTTGCTTTGCCACCATGAACAATAATGTGTACTTGAAAGCTACTCAATAAATCAAATACATAAAAAAAATATTTTGATCTGTACATAATGAGTTTCCCTGGAGAGGCATTGATCTAGAGCTAATTTACGGTGCCCTCGTACTCCCAAACCATACGACGGAGTAGTAAACAGATCTGTCCATCTGCGATGGAGGGTAACTTAGTCATTCTCCCAAGGGTAATTTAGACTTTTCCTGATCGTTCGGTTACCTGTAAAAGAGCTCTTGTTTATGATTTAATTTGTGCCTTGTTTTAGCAAGAGGGGTAGCTCTTAGACTGTGTATACAGGCCAATGAGATGAAGTTCTAATTAGAGACATCTTTTCCCCAGTTGATGTTAATCGAATTATGCAAATACCCCTATACGTGCAAGGAGTGAATGACTTTGGCATGGAGTTATACAAGGTTAGGAACATTCTCAGTTAAATCCGCGTATCACAGAGAGCTTGAGCATCAATTCTATATGGCATATTGGTGAGGCCAGATGGTCAAGGCAATGTCTAAATTAATCCTGTATGGAAAAAATAATTGGAACTTGTGCATTCCTGGAAAGATTAAGCACTTTGCTTGGAAAGTGTTTCGAGGCTCACTTCCATGTTACGGCATTTTGGCTGGGTGCCATGTTTCCTGCTCGCCTTAGTGCCCGATTTGTAGGGTGGGCTATGAGGATATTTAGCATTGTCTATTCACCTGCCGACGCGCAAGAGAACTTTGGAGAGCACTTGGACTACAAGAGAGTGTGCAACAGGCGGTGGCACAAGACAACTCTGGATCAGTCACTCTGGAGATTTTATCCAAGGTTGAAGGAGGTTCAGGTGAAGTCCCAATCCCTGAGCTGATGATGGTGGCAGCCTGGTATATATGATGGCAAAGACATGAATTCATCAAAGGTGAAACTATCCATACACCAGAACGAACAGCGATCTCCATAAGAGTCCTCGCGACCCACTATGTGAGAGCGTACAGGACAAAATACAAGAACCAGAGCGGTGATCTTATCTGGAAAAAGCCTAGCACAGGGATGATCAAGATTACTGTGAACGCATCAGTAAACTTGGAAAATGGAGATGGAGCCACTGGAGCAATTGCTCGAGATGATCGTGGGGCTTTCATCGCTGCCGTGACCTAGGTGCTACCAGCAGTAGTAAGCGTGGACTCAGCGGAAATTATTGCCATTAAAAATGGACTATATCTTCTATATCTATAGTACTTATAAAAGAACAAACATTATCTTCTTTAAGTGCACTTCACAAAACGTACACGGATACATTACCACCGCATGATTAGTCCCACTAAACTCAATCTAACGGCTAGACTTAACTGAATCTGTTCTCTGTGTGCACTTAGCAATTTACATTGACTGACCGTACTCCATCACGGAGGAAAATATGAAAGTCCATGCCTGATCAATTAGGAAACTATAATCACGGACACATCCTATTAAGAAACTAATCACGGGCACATCTAATTATTAAGAAAGTAATCACAAACCCATCCTATTATTAGGAAAAAAATTACGCGCGCATCCTATTATTAGGAAAATAATTACGAGCTATCCTATTAGGAAATTAATCACAGACGCATCTAATTATTAGAAAACTAATCATGGCTGCATCCTATTAGATAACTATTCACGAACGCATCTAATTATTAGGAAACTAACCGCGAGCGCATCCTATCGTCTCCTATCAGGGAATCGTGATCGCGAGTCGCCAGCCGTCACCAGCCCACCACCCACGCGAGCCACAATGGGAGACACGCGAGGAGGAGTTGCGGCTTCCTCCGAACACACTTATACTGACTGCAACGACTTTGTCCACATCCTGGGCATGCTCTCCGGGAACCACCGACACCCGCGTCGACTTCAGCTCCATCCACAACACCCACGCTGACAACCACCCACCTCCAAGGTCCTTCAAGTGGGGGCAACGCTGAGTATCTTGGACCAGTATAAGCGGGCCAAAAAAATCTGCCCCCACAGCTATTCATGTAGATTCGCCTGGTCGCCAACCATCATCATCCCCAGGGCGGTGCAAGTCTCGGCCACTGTGCAGCAGGTGAAGCTAATCACGACCCCATCTCACTCGCCCGAAGCCACCGCCGACTCCCTCAGCTCTGACGCGTGCTGCTCTGTTGGACACACTTGTCCGGTACTCGCGCGTGGACGACGTCGTCCAAAGCTAATCCCAGTGCGTGGAGGCCGCCGCCTCAAAGCTGGACGACTGACTCACCTGCGTCGACAATGCCGCCCAGCTGGTGAGAGGACATGGTCGCCGCGGCCGCTCGCAGGCCTGAACGACGGAGACGCTCACCTTCACGCGAACGCACCACACACACGCATTAATCAAGTAAGTATCGAGTGTTACTTTTTTACTGTCATCGCTACCTCGCCGGTGGTGACACATCTAGAAGTACAGGAACTAGAGATGAGGCAGTCAGAAACAGAGGAGCGCTGGAGCACACACAGAGACGTTCGCCTTCTTTCTTTCTTTATTTTTTCACTGATTTTCGCGTACCCGCAACAGACATCCCTGTTTTTTTAAGTACTGACTACCGGTTATTACATGGCCAACTCACGACTACATAGTGAACTCACAGACAAATTCGTTGAATCAAGACCTTACTTGCAGTCATGAAATTACGTTTCACTGAAAAAACCCAGAAGTTTGCATAAGTTTTAATGAAAAAAAACTAAAGTTCGCATAAGTTTTACTAAAAAAAACCTGAAGTTTGCATAAGTGTATTTGTTTGTCTAGCTGATACATGGCAATTGTAATTTTACATGAGCATTTTCATATCGTCCTTATCTACAGTCGAGTTAACATGTTTTTCTGATAGAAAACTTGGACTACATACAAGAGAAGCAAAAACTGCATGTTGATTATTATGATGATGAATGTAGGATATTTTGTGATCATGGTAAATTTCATATCATTTAGTACATAAACAATATTCACAATTTTATTTTATTACCATCAATTGTGTTGAGTTTCTTTCATATATATGTATTGACCCTCTTCTTTAAATTAGATGTGACAGATGCGGAATGAACTCATACCACATGATCACATACGAGCAATTCAAGAGGAATTGGCGGGATTCTTTCTTGACCATGTCATACATGAAGACGGAGAATGCCATGTGGAAGTTGAAATTAATTTTAGATGTTAGGGATTATAAGAGATGTTATATTGTATATATGTAGTAGTGTCGGATAGATATATACAAAAACTTGTTGTTCGATCAATCTCAGAGAAAGAAAGGTCACTTCTCTCTGTATATGTTCATGACGATGTTGTGTAATTCTTGACTGGAATTTGTTGGCACTGAAACGGTTTCTTAGCTTGTCCTAAGTGACATTTTCATGTGTGACTATACTTGCATAAATGTGTGCATATGAAGAATCATGATGAATATTCTAAATAATTTTGAATTTTATATATTGAGAAAAGTGGGTGGTCTTTTAATACATGAGACATGTTGATTAAGGAGAAACGATATTTCAAATTATTTGTACGAGTTGGAAATAAGAGATCGTGTACTTTATAGGGAAATTTCAAATTTATGAATAAATTGTCTTGTATTAAGTTTAGTATAATATATTAATCCAAATAGATGCGTATTGCGTGTGCACACTTATTAGTTCAAATAGACGTGCATTGCACGTGCACACTTACTAGTGCATGCCAAGTTGGATGCAATAGTCTGCAGATTGAAATAGTCTGCAGATTGAATCCGATTGCAGTTACGCGGTTAATGCGATCAATCTTGATGATGCTTACCAAGGGCCTGATGTTGCCATAATAGCAGAGTGCAAGGACTTGATACGGGAGTTTGCAGAAGTTCGGTTCACACACTGCTTCAGAGAAGCAAACGCTGCAGCAGATGGCTTAGCTAGACATTGTTATAATTCTAGATCCCCTAGCTTTTGGGACGTTTCTATCCCTGATTTTATTTCTCGCCTTCATGTAAATGACCTATCTATTATAAGAGAAATAAAGTTGTTTTGCTGTCAAAAAATATATAAAAATTAAGATGAATCGAGCTGGATCCACTGCAATGCCAATAACACGGAGAACAAATTAGTAAGCAAAAATGACCAGTGAGAAAGAATGTATCACATATATTTAAGTCTACTCGGTCGAAGCCGAGGTTATGTTGCATTATACATGTATATCAAAGTTCAAAGCGAAAAACCGCCTTCACAAAACTTTCCAACGGACCATTCAGAAGCTACGGAAACAGGGACCACATAATAACTCCCACATTGCGGTACCTCCACAATTTATTCTGAAGCCGATCGTTGCTAGGATCAACGGTGCATGTACGGCAGCAAACATTTCCCCAGCGTCCACCTCAAAGCAACAACGCAAACAACAATGTTACAGCTGAAAGGAAACCGAACATACATTATCTACCACTGGAGCAGAGGCGGTGGCGCCTGGACTAAAGGCATTTGCCCCACCGGCGTGCCTGATTGGGGAGGAGGAGGCGCCTTGGGCGTCCTCGTCCCCAACGACCTCATCCTCCCCACCATGGCTCTCCGCCCACCACCATGGACGGCTCTCTCCGCGGTGCGGATTGACGTCTCCACCGTGCCATCGGGGCGCGACGAATCAGCGACGGACATGGCGCAGGCGCACAGCAGGAGAGCCGCCAGGAGCAACGAAGTGGTGGCCATGACGAGTGGTGCAGCTGCTGCTAGACGACTGGTAGCAGGAGCCAAGAGGCAAGTGTGATGGTGCCTGATGATCATCGACTCGAGCCGTTTATATACGCGATCGACGTAAGCTTCCGTGGATGTAGAATTTCCCGATGCTCTCTTCTGGATTGTGCCTCCCGGAGCAAAAAATATAATGATTCACGGTTAAACAATTTATCGTAATACTCTGTTGAGATCCACAAGCTTTTGTTGGATTTGGGATCTTGACCGACATTTTGCAACCAGAATGGTTGGCATACGGCATCTTGACAAACAGAAATTGGGAGGTTCGATAGGCACCACATGTCCACGTCGCTAGCTATCCGTGCCTAAACTTCAACTCTGTTTCGGACGAGGAGAATTAATTGATGAAGTGTGGCGAACTGGCAACCATCATCAGAGCAAGTACAATAATGAGCTATAAGCCCGTTTACATGGTATTTTTACCTATATAAAGGAGAGAGACAAAGAAAAAGTGAAGGAGTGGCTTCTCATGCCATAGCCCGTCTCCACGCATACTCCTAGGTAAAGACATTTAATGAGAAGAAAGAGATAAAGAGACTGAGCAGAAGTTATGAACTTATAGCCGGCCTTATACCACCTCTATTGTATGAATAATTAATAGTGCTAGCTCTTGATGACATGACATGTTCATATAGCCAGCAACTGACTATATTATTAACCATGCTCTCAAGTTGCATGATCGAACAGCTTTTCTTTATTAAATTGGAGTGTGTGTTCTGTTACATCTTGCTAGTAGCCAGAATACGGCAGTTTCTACACAGGACCAGAAATAACAACAATATAAAGTGTGGCAAACTGGTAAAGGTCATCAACTTTCTTTTTGGCAAACTGGCAAATATCATCGACTACTTGGTTAGACATCTTTGTAATCATTTCATAATGTATATTCTCATAACGGTTTTGCCCGACTTCCTACCACCCGCAGATCACCGTCACTTGGAGGAACGCTGCCACACCCCAAGGGAGTGACACCAGATTCCGTGCCTTGCAAGCCCGCCGACAATGGCAACAAGGGGAGGTTGGAGCAACATGTAAGTTTGAATTTATAAAAGAATCTCAAAAAATTTTGAATTTGTAAAGGAAAATAGGAAAATAATAGAAATGAAAATAAAATAAAAAGGAAAACGGAAGCAACCCTGAAAACAGAAAGGAAGAAAACCCACAAAAATGGTTGCAAAATGGGCTGGCCCAGTGCATGTATGTTTGATCGACCATGTTAGACTATGTATAACTTCTGTACCTATGTACGTATTGTAACACAACCATTATATATAATGAGATAAGCCACCCCTAAAAGGTTGTGCTGGTTCCCAAAACTTATTGTCTTACATGGTATCACGCTAGGTTACGATCGCTTCCGCTTCTAAACCCTAATACCCGCACCGCCGCCGCAGCAGCCGCCGCCTTCACCGCCGCCGCCGCGCCACCGATCGCGCCGCCGCCATGTCGAGCGCCGCCACCACCGGTTCCACTGCTGCGGGCTTCCTCCCGGCCTCTCTTGCGGCTCTGCTCAACCTCCCGCTCGATGCCGTCTCCGTTCCGGCTCCGATCGGGACAAGGAGCATCGGCTCCGTCTTCTCCACGCCGCCGGCGCCCTCGCTCGGGCGTGACCTCGTGGTCCACACCGCGGTGCCGCCGTCCGCTGCGGATTCCGCAGGCGTCGTCCCGCCGCTCCTGCCGCGAGCGGATCACACCGCCCCGCTGGCGGGGTTGGCGGCGTCCGCACCGGCCGCGAGCTTTGCGGCGCCCGCCCTGGCTGCGGTCCCGCCTCCTCCCGCATCGGCTTCGATGCCTCCGGCTGCCTCCATGGTGTTTGCACCCCAGGCAGCCTCCTCGATGGGATCGTCTTCGCCGCCGCCGTTTCACTTCGGTCATCTTATCACCATCAAGCTCTCCGCAGACAACTACATCTTCTGGCGTGCGCAGGTTCTCCCGCTCTTGGGGAGTCACTACCTGCTAGGCTACGTCGACGGATCGCTTCCCTGCCCACCCGCGTTGGTAGACAGCGTGCACGGTCCGGTCTACAATCCGGCCCATCGCGTCTGGACGGGGCAGGACCAGGCGAACCTCTCCTCCATCCAGGGGTCGCTCTCGCCGGCAGTTGCCGGCCTTGTTGTCTTCGCGAAGACGTCTCATGAGGCCTGGACCATCCTTGAGCGCACCTTTGCAGCGCAGTCCCAGTCTCGTGTCTCTGCACTCCGTCGTCAGCTTGGAGAGTGTCAGAAGCTTGACTCCACGGCCACTGAGTTCTACAACAAGGTCAAGGGCCTTGCCGACACATTGGCCTCCATTGGACAGCCTATCACCGACTCCGAGTTCAACTCGTTTATTGTCAATGGTCTTGATGAGGAGTATGATGCCTTAGTCGAGATCATCAACGAGCGGGGCAACTCGACACCCATGCTGGCACACGAGGTTTTCTCTCGGCTTCTTCTCACTGAGCAACGGGTCGAGACTCGCCGCACCAGGGGCACTGGCTCCCTCTCGGCCAACGTCGCCACCAAGGGTGGCCGCTCTTCTTCATCACCCCGGTCTCCCTTGGGGCTGCCACCGTCGCCCGCCTCGCCCCCCCCACCTACTGCGACCTTACCGGGGGCTGGCGGTCCACGTGTGTGCCAGCTTTGTGGCCGCAATGGGCACTGGGCCTCCAAGTGTCATAAGCGCTTCCAGCGAAGCTTCCTTGGTCTTGGCAATGACGGCAAAGATACACGCAACAATGCCCGTCAGGTCGCCATGGCTGATCGTCCCGCGCCGCAGAAGCAACAGGGACACACTCAGTCCTACTCCATCGATCCACACTGGTACATGGACTCTGGGGCGACAGAGCATCTGACCAGCGAGATGGGGAAGCTTCACACTCGTGAACCCTATCATGGCTCCGACAAGATCCACACCGCCAATGGAGCAGGTATGCACATCTCTCATATTGGTCAAGCATCTCTTCTCACTAGACATGCCAATAGGAGTCTTCAGCTTCGCAATGTTCTTCGAGTTCCATCTGTGACCCGCAATCTTCTTTCAGTTCCTAAACTCACACGTGATAATAATGTGCTTTGTGAATTTCACCCTTTTGATCTTTTTATTAAGGATCGGGGCACGAGGGACATTCTTCTTAGTGGGCGGTTGTGCCAGGGCCTCTACCGTCTGGAGCATCCTGGCGTCGCCCGTGTTTTCAGTGGAGTTCGGGTCTCTCCGTCACAGTGGGATGCTCGTCTTGGTCACCCGGCCACACCTATTGTCCGTCATATTTTGCGTCGTCATGAGCTTCCTAGTTTGTCTAGTAATAAAGATGTAGCAGTGTGTGATGCTTGTCAGCAGGGGAAGAGTCATCAACTTCCTTTTTTGGAGTCCAGTCGTGAGGTGAAACATCCTTTAGAACTTGTGTTTTCAGATGTATGGGGTCCTGCTCAGACTTCTGTCAGTGGTCATAATTACTATATCAGTTTCGTTGATGCTTATAGTCGCTTTACCTGGCTTTACCTTATTAAATGCAAATCTGATGTGTTTGATATTTTTGTTCAGTTTCAAAAACATGTTGAACGTCTTCTTAAGCACAAAATTGTTCATGTCCAGTCGGACTGGGGGGGGGGGCGAGTATCGCAACCTCAACTCCTTCTTTCAGTCGCTTGGGATAGCTCATCGTTTAGCATGTCCACATACACATCAGCAGAATGGTTCAGTCGAACGTAAGCATCGTCATATTGTTGAAGTTGGTCTTACTCTTTTGGCCCATGCATCTGTTCCGTTTCGGTTTTGGAGTGATGCTTTCACCACTGCATGCTTTCTCATCAACCGTACTCCCACTCGTGTTTTAAACATGAAGACTCCCATTGAGGTTCTCCTTAATGAACAACCTGATTATACCTTTTTCAAGGTATTTGGGTGTGCTTGCTGGCCGCATCTTCGTCCATATAATAAGCGCAAGCTTGAGTTTCGTTCTAAGAAGTGTGTTTTTCTTGGCTATAGCTCTCTTCATAAAGGTTACAAATGTCTTCATGTTCCCACTAATCGTGTCTATATATCTCGGGACGTCGTGTTTGATGAGCATGTTTTTCCCTTTGCCAAACTTCCTGTGTCCACTGTCGAACCACCATCTCTGCATTCATCCTCTGTTGCTTCTGACCAATTTGATGATGTTGCATACTCTCCTTTGCTGTTACCTAACCATGGTGCAGGAACCGGACGTGGGGCTCGTTTGGAGCTGTTGGAGGATTCACCATCATCATCGCCGCCTTCTGATGGGCACGTCGATTGCCCTATGTTGCATGGCATCAATTCGCGTGCCCATGCATGGTCACCCGAAGAGCCAGTCGCGCCGAGCATCTCCACTGCTCGGTCCGCTACGCCAGCGACCGCCGAGTCTCCAGCGGCTCGGCCCTCTTCGCCAGCGGCCGCCGAGTCTTCAGCGGCTCGGCCTGTCACGCCGTCTTCGCCCGCGGCTCGGCCCGTCACGCCGTCTTCGCCTGCAGCTCGGGTCCGCGACGCCGTCCTCACGTCGCCTTCATCCGCGGATCGGCCCGCGACACCGGCCGCGCCACGGCCCACTATGCCGGGCTCGCCATCGGCCCGGTCTGGGATGCCGGAGTCGCCAGCTGCTTCGTCTGCTCTGCCGGTCTCGCCGGTGGGCCGGCCTTCTTCGCCGACTGAGTCCGAGGCTACCGTGCCTGGCTCCTCGTCACCGGCTGACTCGTCAACGTCGCCGTCCTCCAGCCCGTTGCAGGCTGCTCCGTCGACCTCGGTGGTTCCTGTGTCTCGACCACATACACGCAGTCGCAGTGGCATTTTCAAACCTAAGGAACGTACGGATGGTACGGTTGCTTGGTTGGCTGCTTGTTTGGCTGCTGCTGTTGCGGATCCATCTTCTGAGCCTCGCTCATATCAGGCTGCCCTGCGCATTCCACATTGGCGAGAGGCTATGGAGCAGGAGTTTCATGCTCTTCTTCGTAACAAGACAT